TAACATCAATTTCTTTTTAAGATATTATATGATTTTTTTTCAATATCAACCTATTTCAATCCAATTTCCAATCATTTCCGGTCTATACATATATAATTATTTTGAATAAATATATGCTTATGTTAAGAATCACGACTCTCTACAATAGTATGATGTTGTCCATTTTGAGCGTAAGCTCTCGTAGCTTTGATTTGGGTTTCCCCAAAATATCTCATACTAATGGAGACGTATTACTTTACTTATAAACTCACGATCATTCCCTAAATAAGCCAACGTGGGACTCACTCCCAACGGTTTAGACGGTTATATCTTAATTGGTTAATCTATGTTTAAGGCAGTTTGGATAACTATAACGCCTCATGCTCATGATTTAGATTCAACATTTCATAATATCGATATTTCGAATGAAAACTATCTTCCCAAATCAACATTAATCTAAATTAGAAAAAAAAAAAAAAAAAGGGTAAATTATTTATATAAATGAAAATGAAGGCACAAAATGTCACATAATTATTGATTATGTTTGTTGGAATTCAACAGCAAAATGAAATGATTCTCACAAACCAAGCACAGTCTTGAACCTTTTAATTCAACAGGCCAGTGGGTGTAACAACTTTCAATAATGTTGAACCAAGTTTTGCCCCCCTTCTTAATCTGACTCTCTTTCTTTTTTTATTTTTTGATTTTTTGATTTTTTATTTTCCAATATCAATACCAAATCTGCCAAACTCAAACAACTTTCTTTTGTCTTCTTGTTTTCATTCCCATCTTCCACATCTTCTCCCTATATAATCTCCATTTCTCCACCCCCATCTCTTCGTATCCATCGCTGCCGCATTTGTTCTTCGTATCCACAGCTATCACCCATGGCGCCGCCTTCACTCACTCTTCATCTGTTTGGCGTTTTGCTTCTATTTTCCTCGGCGGCATTGTCCTTGGCCCACCCACTAACACATCGCCATCAATTTGTTGTATGTTTTTCTCTTCTCTTTCTGGGTTTTGCTTGTTTGTTTTTGATGTTCATTGTGTTTGAAAAAGGAACTCTTTGAAGATTCAAGCTACCCCAGTGAAGAGGCTGTGCAAAACCCACAATGCCATTACGGTGAATGGCCAGTTCCCTGGGCCGACATTGGAGGTCAACAATGGTGATACTCTCATTGTCACTGTTATTAACAAAGCCAAGTACAACGCGACAATTCATTGGTAATTACCCATTTCTAATCTTTACACTTTGAGATTCATTTTATGGAGATTTGATTGTTTTAGTGTTGTTATTATTGTGTTTTTAGGCATGGAATCAGGCAGTTACGAACTGGTTGGGCTGATGGACCTGAATTTGTGACTCAATGTCCTATCAGACCCGGAGGAAGCTATACTTATAAGTAAATAAATCATCACTCGACTCGAAAGCTTGAACTAAAAATGAATTTAATCTCGTTAATTAATGCAGATTCACCGTAGAAGGACAAGAAGGGACTCTATGGTGGCATGCACATAGCTCATGGCTTCGTGCCACGGTTTACGGAGCCTTAATCATCCGCCCTAGACAGGGAGATTCCTACCCTTTTGCCAAGCCAAACCGCGAAGCAATACTTCTAATGGGTAATTATAAGTTACATTACATTATATAATTACATTAAACGATATTTAATCGCCCGGCATAAATACAAAATATTATTTTTTAAATTTATTATTATTATTATTATTTTGGATTATTAGGTGAGTGGTGGGATGCAAACCCCATTGACGTAGTGAGACAGGCCACAAGAACAGGAGCGGCTCCCAATGTCTCTGATGCTTTCACTTTCAATGGTCAACCCGGTGACCTTTACAAGTGCTCTAGCCGAGGTGAATTTTGTAATTTCACAATATATATTTTAATATTTTCTCAATTATGAATATTAGAAATGTAATTAAATGATATTCGATCGTGTATAATGATTATGCAGATACTGTAATTGTGCCCATCGATTCCGGCGAGACCAATTTGCTGAGAGTGGTGAACTCCGGCCTGAACCAGCCGCTTTTTTTCACGGTGGCGAACCACAAACTGACGGTGGTAGGAGCCGATGCTTCCTACACAAAGCCCTTCACAACCTCTGTTTTGATGCTTGGCCCAGGCCAAACCACCGACGTTTTAATCTCCGGCGATCAGGTCCCTTCCCGGTACTACATAGCGGCACGTGCGTACCAAAGCGCTCAAAACGCACCGTTCGACAACACCACCACGACTGCCATTCTCAACTACAAATCTGCCCCTTGCTCCGCCAAGAAAGGCGGCGTGTCGATTAAACCACTCATGCCTCCGCTCCCTGCCTACAACGACACCGCCACCGTCACCGCCTTCAGCCGGAGTTTTCGTAGCCCTCGACCCGTCCCAGTCCCGAAGGAAATCGACGAGAATCTGTTCTTCACCATCGGATTGGGACTCAACAATTGCCCACGTAATTTCAAACCCAGCCAATGCCAAGGCCCCAACGGAACCCGCTTCACAGCCAGTATGAACAATGTCTCATTCGTACTTCCTTCCAACATCTCAATTCTTCAAGCCTTCCAACAGAGGATTCCCGGCGTCATCACCCCTGATTTTCCGGCCAACCCGCCGGTGAAATTCGATTACACCGGCAACGTCAGCCAGTCACTTTTTCAACCGATTCCCGGTACTAAAGGTTACAGATTAAAATACGGGTCGACAGTACAAGTCGTGTTACAAGACACTAGCATTGTAACGCCTGAAAATCACCCGATTCATCTCCATGGTTACGATTTTTACATAATCGCCGAGGGATTCGGAAATTTCAACCCCAAAACTGATACTAAAAAATTCAACCTCGTTGACCCTCCTCTTAGAAACACCGTCGCCGTCCCCGTCAACGGCTGGGCCGTCATCCGATTCGTCGCCGATAACCCAGGTAATAATTTTTTAAATAAAAACAAATTAAAATTCTTCTTTTATTCCAAATTTTATTAAATTCTTTTATGATTTTTGATTTATTAGGTGCTTGGATAATGCATTGTCACTTGGACGTGCACATCACGTGGGGGTTGGCGATGGTGTTTCTGGTGGATAATGGAGTGGGACAGCTGCAGTCAATAGAGTCGCCGCCGCCGGATCTCCCGATATGCTAAGACCGCCAAAATTAAAAATAACAACACATTGGAATTAGTTTCGGAGTTTTTTTGTTTTTCCCGTTTTTATTAGCGTTGGGGGCCATAGAATATGCTCTGTTTCATTGTTATCTTCATTTTGATTTATAAAGTTCTTTGCAGACCTCAAATTCTAATTGATTTTGTACGGACGAATAATTAAAAAATTGAATAATTTAAAGCTGAAAATTTAGGCATCGACCAAGTCAAATTTTAATAACACCTAACTTAGGTTAACCCAACTGAGAATTAAGGATTAAATTATGAAGAAAATAATGGAATTTTCTACCTTTTTTAATGTGCTCAATATTGGTCAATATCCATTAAAAAAACAGGAAAAAAAAAAAGATTGGTCAAAATGGGTGCAACTACTTCTGATTGTTCTTAAGCAATATCAAATTGGTTGAATCTAAGATGAGTAACTTCTAATCAACTGCTAAATCAACCATTAGTTAAGACTCATTTGATTTTTTAATTTGTAGTTTACTTTGTTTTCTTATCTATATTTTTAAAATATTAGTAAAGTTTTGAAAACTTAGAAAAAAAATCTTTATTTTAAAATTTTAATTAAACTTTAATAAAAAACTATGAAAGGAAGTCAATATGATATTAAAATATAGATTATTAATTTTATTCATCTAGTAAATAGATTGATTTCCTTGATTTCTTTGTCATTTTAATTATTACATTTATTATTATGTTCCGTCCAGTTTCAATGTTCATCAAATAGGTTTAAATCTTACATTAATTATTATGTTCAGTGAACAGGTTTAAAATTTTCAGTCTATTTAATTTAATTTAATTAATAATAATAATAATAAACAACTGGGATTCCTTGAAAGTAGACAGCAGAAGCCTTTTGCCTACTTTTTCATAATGCGGCTGCCGAAGTGGCGTTTGCAGTGACGCATTCTAACTTAGTTCAATCTTGCCATGTCATCGATGACCTTCGACATAATGTCATGTATCAATCCAACGTGGCATTATTTGAACCCTACAACTTGGTCCAATACAAAAAGGAAACGTGGCACAAAAATACAGCACAGCATCATATTCTAGTGTTACTGGGAGGCAATGGCATACACGTACTACCCTACGTGTGCCACAGAAATCTTAGGTTAATTTACGTCCCTGAAAAAAAATTTAAACTTCTAATATTATCTATTAAATATTTTATTTAAATTGTTAATTGAATAATAATTAATTTAAAAGAATTGATTCGATCAAAGTTGATTAGAAATTTAAAATTAAAAACATTGAAACAAATAAAAATATATTTTAAAGTAGACAAGTTGACCGGTAGAGACTGAATTTATAAATTAAGTTGGCTTAATGCCTTTTCTAATATTTATCCAATATAAAACGACTCGTTTTAGTCAAAGTGAGCTTGACCAACGCGCTATTTTTCTCGATTTCTCAAAAACTCTATTTTTTATATTTTCTTTTTTGTATACACGTTAATATTTATGGAAAGTACTTGGTAGAGAAGAAAGCGACCCGTGAGGTCGGGAAACTTCAGTGCCACGTGGCAAATTATTATACATTTTGAAGTCAGATAGCCACTAGGAAACCGCCACGTCGACGTTAATTAATAAGTCATAATGTTGAGGATAAATATCAGAAGTCTCTGGAGAAGGCTATAAATATCTTCCTCCTCTGGCTCACTGGAGATTCCGAGAACTAAAGATCATCTACGCCGAAAACCAGTTCGAGAAACGGAAGAGAGAAAAAAGGAAAAAGAAAGAAGGCGTTTCAGAGAAGTTGCGGGAAGAACTGAAATAAATTTGCTCGTGTTTTCAGATCGAAAGGAGTTCTTCGTCTCGCATGACAGTAGAGATAGCTCAGAGGTTGGTTCCTTCATCTTCATCTCTTCTTTTTTTATCCTTTTCCAGTGAATCCTTGAATTGCAAAATCAAATGAAATTTTGAAGTTCTTGAGATTATTTAGGGTTTGTTAATTTGGAATCGTGGTGCCTAAAAATTAGGTTTCGAGATTGTTCTAGAAGTTTCTTGCCATTTTCTCATGAAAATGTTTATTCTACGAAGTTCGTAGTGTATATGGAAAGTTATTGCCGATAATCTCTTAATACTTGAGGCTTAAGAAATCTGTGGGTTTTGGTCATAAAAACCGGTCTAATCTGTTGTCTTCTTTAGGAAGCTGCAATTACTTGTTGTCGCGTTAGTTTTGTTTACCTGGGGCTCAAGAAACCAGTGGGTTTTAATCATACGAACCGCTCTAAGTTTTTTTGTTCTTGCTTAGGGAGTTGTAATTATCCAGGGGCGAGGCAATCAGCACTTTGTTTTCTGATTTCTTCAATTTCGGTTCAAAATTGTCCAAAAATGAGTCTGGGTGATCGATATTCTGACGCAATTTCTTTACCTACCAAACGAATTAGGAAGAGGAAGTCACGGAGTAGACGAGATCCATCGACCGTGGCTGAGACTCTTGCTAAGTGGAAGGCTTATAATGAATGTGTTAATTCTTGTGATGATGGAAGCAAGCCAATACGTAAAGCTCCAGCGAAAGGATCTAAGAAGGGATGTATGAAAGGTAAAGGTGGACCCATGAATTCAAATTGTAAATACAGAGGTGTGAGGCAGAGGACTTGGGGGAAATGGGTTGCGGAGATTCGTGAGCCGGATAGAGGTAGTAGGCTGTGGCTTGGTACTTTCTCTAATGCCATTGAAGCTGCTCTCGCCTATGACGAGGCTGCCAGGACCATGTATGGCCAGACTGCTCGTTTGAACCTTCCCAACATTACAAACACACGGCTGCTAGCAGGCTCTGCCTCGGATTCTTCAACCACCACGTCGACGACAACCACATCATCGAACCAATCTGATGTCTGTGTGTCTGAGGAGCTTACAATGACGCCACAACCTGTCCCCCCAGACGTTAAGATCGAAGGTGAGCCGAGGACCGGGTTCCCGGTTGATCACGTTGCGACATCGGCGATCGATGCTAAATTTTGTGACCAAGGCAATGATCAGGCAGCTCTGTTAGGGATTGAATTTCCCAGTATGGATCACTTCCCGAACTTTCAAATGGACGAAATGTTCGAGTTGAGGACTAGTGACATTGCAATCCCGGTGAGCTTAGAGAAGAAATTTCAAATGGACGAAATGTTCGAGTTGAGGACTAGTGACATTGCAATCCCGGTGAGCTTAGAGAAGAAAGTGAAGCATGAAAGTGTTGATGGCGATGACGAATATCCCGATCGGAGCAGTGATCCATTCGACATCCAGGATGTGCTGCAGGACTTTCAAATAGATGAAATGTTCGATGTGGAGGAGCTTCTAAGCATTATAAATAGTGATTCCATGCATGATCAAAGCTTCTTGCAAGGGAATGTGTATGATTCTAACAACATGGTGCCTCCCCAACCATCAAGCTCGTCGAATCAGTTCCGATACCCCGACGAGAAGCTGCTCGGAAGCCTTCAACACATGGAGCAACCTCCAGCCGACGTCAATCATGGGTTCGATTTCTTGAATGAGGGGAGGGAGGAGGATCTGAATGCTGCAACAGATGATTTCGCAAGATACTTGAATTATGAGATGGGTGGTTTGGGTTTCTGAAGGGCAATCTTGGCGAGCTTCATTTATTGTGTAAACTATGTTGGGTATTGAAGCGGACGAATTATTGTGCGTAGGTTTTAGCCATCAGATACTTAGTTACTTGTATAGCTACCTTCATTAGGTGCAACAGAGTTTTTTCAATTAGTTTAATGAAATTCATTATTCTTTGTTTTATGGAAATACCCATTAATTATTTCTATTAAAATGATAATATATAAATGAAATTTCAATGAATAGAAGTTTTAACCAATTAATCATTTAATAAAACAAAAAGATAGAGCAAGTTGTAAGGCAACTTGTGCATAGGATACATAGACAGCAGGGTTTTCTCCAATCCTTGATTTTTGACCATATAAATTATGGGTTTAGCTTCCGCTTTAGGCAACCAACTTGGATAGCCTTAGAACTTCTTTAATCAATAAAATTTTAGTCCAATTTAGATCGTATCAGAGCCGCAAATTATTTTATTTTATTTATTGCATTGATTAATAATATTTATTGGACACAAAAATCTTTTTTGATATTTTCTCATAAAAAAAATAGGGGGTTTTTTTCTAAGTAATGGAGGACCACTTTTATTCATTTGTGAGTTTCTTGCTTGTATTATCTACTTTAAATTAAAAAAAATAAAAAAATCTTCTAGAAGTTTCTTTTGTTAAAACATTGGACTACAAATTCAATGCTAATGTAAAAATCATGGCACAAAAATGGTAGATAAATGAACATAAATAAATAAATAAATAAATAAATAAAAAGTATTATGAAAGAATCTTATCTAAAATCTTGGAAACGATAGAAGATAAAGGATTTTAGTTGAAAATGTAGGACAATTGTCCGGTATGAAGGAGACGTGGAAAATGATTAAGGAATTATCTTGCATGTTGGATTGTTAGGTGGAGGCCTACTCAATGGTTCAGTTCAGCGGCTTATTTCACTTTATGAATCTATCCATATATTACACTCCCACATGATATACTAAATTAGTAGCTATTCTATGCCCGACTTGGTAACTTGGTAACGCAAAAAAACATTAACGTTGCCAATTTGATTATTCTCTTAAATTATATGTTAACGCATATTCTGTTAAAGTTGTCTGTCACATCACATCATATCGTACGACATTTAATTAAAAGTATTTGTTAATTAAAACTATATATATTAAAAGACAAGTAATGAATTGGTAATTAGATGGTGTGTTTCTAGAAAAGTCGTTAAACGTGAACAAAATTAAAGATATAAATGGTGGCAATGGCAAAGTTGAAGTTTGAAATGGAAATAAGGTCCAAACAAAGGCCTTGCAACTTGCCCATCCCACTTGCAATTCTAGGCAACTGCAACAGCTAAAAGTAAGCTCGAATTACAGCAAATTTTGTTCCCAAGTGGACCTCAATTCTTTTCTTTTTTTTCTCTTTTGAACCAATTTATCAAACACTTTAATTTAAATGCCTCCAAACCAAACCCAATATATACCAACTCCTTGTTTTCTTAATTATATATTTCTTGAATCTATCCTCCCATCAAACTCAGCCCCATATTGAATTTTAAATATGCCTTCCTCCCTTCAATTCTACCGCTACACCACCGCTAAGCCCTCCGCCGCCTTTAACGCAAAGACCCACTTCGTTTCGCACCCGTGTGCGCTTACAGACCACAAGCATGCAGTGGCGTCGGACCAGTGCAGCTCTGTCGTGGTGCAGACCATCGACGCTCCGGTGGCTTTAGTTTGGTCGTTGGTCCGGCGATTCGACAACCCACAGATGTACAAGCAGTTTCTCAAGAGTTGCCGGATTGTCGATGGCGACGGTGTGTCGGTTGGGACGATTCGTGAGGTGCAGGTGGTGTCAGGTCTGCCGGCGCTGTCGAGTAGAGAGCGGTTGGAGATTCTCGATGATGAAAAGCACGTGTTGAGCTTTAGCATCGTGGGAGGAGAGCACCGACTGAAGAATTACCGGTCGGTGACGAGCTTACACGTGTCACCGGGAGGCGGAGGAACGGTGGTGGTGGAGTCGTACGTGGTGGATGTGCCGCCGGGAAATACGAAGGAAGAAACGTGCGTGTTCGTAAATACGATTGTGCGGTGCAATTTACAGTCGTTGGCTCGAGAATCAGAGAACATTGCCAAAGCAAAAATCAAAAACATGTAAAATCATATACAATTTAGGCATAATGTAGATAATCAAACGCTAATCGCTCCATTTTTTTTTTTTTTTTGGTTGGTGGAAACCGACTTTAACTTGCATTGGTATCTTATTCGTTTTTTTCTTTTCCTCCTTGGAATGGTAGTTATGATCTTTATCAAGGGCTGGACTTTTTTGAAATTTATGAGAAATTTATGCCCTTTTTTCTATTATGTGTATATATATATATATATTCATTTTGGATGTTTTTTTTAAATTAAATTACGGCGTTTATTTTCTTTAAATTCCTATTTAAATGGAAATATCTAAATTAAGAGACTTTATTGAGGAAAATAAAGAAATCCCACCAAATTTGGAGTTGAAAGTATTTTATTTAATAACTTGTGAGTTACCGCCATTAAAATTTTGGAATAAGGAAAAAAATAACAATCGCTTGACTAGTAATATTTTATTTATTTATTTTTCTCTGCAAATGGCAACTTGGTATTTTTTTTTTTTTTTTTTGAAAAAGAACTACATGCAATTTATGGCTGTAATTAGGGATGTGGAGCGGCAATTTGTCTTGCAAGTTGTGAAAGACATTTTATTTGGATATTCCGATTTTCTTTTTGTTTAAACCTCAAACTAATGAGGCCGCCCATGTCGGACTCATTCATTTCCACTGTTTTTAGTCTAAGACTTTAATTATTCTAATCAAGTCTTATCGTGGTTATCGCTGTTATACTTTAAATTGTCCTTTTATTTATTTATTTATTTATTTATGATAATTAAATTAATAATCCATCTCTATAATTATTTTTGTTTTTATTTTGAACTTTTAAATTTAATTTTTATCATCTAGTTAAATTCATCCCTAATACTTGCCATCCTTTAAAAAAATTTATTATCACCACATGGTCGAGGATGTTAGGAACCAAGAAATATCTCATGCCAATGGATGAGCCTCCTCTGAGGCTTATGGAACCCTCGAACAACCTCTTCTTAATCAAGACGAGTCTTCACAATAGTATGATATTATCCACTTTAAACATAAGAAATGCCTTATGTTAATGGATAAGCCTCTCTTGAGGCTCATGGAGCTCTCGAATAGCCTCTCCTTTATCGAGGCTCGACTTCTTCTCTAAAACTCTTGAACAAAGTACATCATTTGTCCGACACTTGAAGATTCTATTGACATAGCTAAGTTAAACATATGACTTTGATAGCATGTTGGGAATCATAGACCTCCATAATAGTATAATATTGTCCATTTTGAGCATAAAACCGGTAAATCCATGTTTATAGTTTGCACAAATATATATATACTTCAGCTGTGATATCTTTACATTCTGCTATTCAACATGGCTGAGATTGAAAGCAGCATCTATTAAGCAGTCTTAGCAAAGCATCAGCCTTTCTTCTGGCCTTCAATGATCCATCAGCTGCCAAGCTTTGCAGCGAAGGGATACTCCGAGGATTCATCAACAACCGCCTCCCAACCTCCTCTCCTCCATCTTTGCACATCCCCAACAACACCGTAATTGAACTCTCTTTTCCATTTGGAGATCCAAATCTTAAAAGATCAACCAGCAAAGGCACCAAAACTCTGCTCTTCCTTATCTCCTGCAGCCCTTCCGAGCAGCCCAAAACCAAAGACAGCGCCTGCAACGCATCATCTGTTATGCCAGCCTTCTCATCTGTCAGCAACTCAATCAGCAATGGCACTGCCCCAGCACCCACAATGCAAGCTTTGTTGGCTTTGTAAAGCGCTAGATTGCAAAGTGCAGTGGCCGCGTCGCGCTTCCCGGCTGAATTGCCTTCTTTCAAGAGCCTCACCAATGCCGGTATCGCTTTCGGACTCGCCCCTATCGATATTTTGAACTCATCCACCATTGTTAAGCTAAATATTGTTGCTGCAGCGTTTTCTCTTGCTTCCATTGTTTTTCCTGATTCTAAGACGTGTGTTATGTTGTCTATTGCCCCTGCTGCCACTATCAGGATCTTGTTGTTGTTAAAGATTGCCAAGTTGAACAATGCCGTCACTGCATTTTCCTCAATCCTTGGATCACCAGATCTCAACAATGTCACAAGAAACGGTATTGCTCCTGCCTCCGCAATCATCCTTCGGCTATCCATCCCTGTTTTTGCTAGCAACCGGAGCTCATATGCTGCTTGTCTTTGAACATCTGGTGATCCGGTTGCAAGCTTCCCCACCAGAAATTCCGCTGTCATTTTCACAGCGTCGGAGGCGGCTTTCGACGCCGAAATTTGATCGATCGGTTCCTCGGAACGGTATCGTCTGCTATTGCTTCTCTTTAAGAAAGAACATGGTTTTGTAGGTTCAAACAAATTAACGTTGTTTTCTTGGCACCATTGTTGCATCAGACTTTTGAGTGCATAATTTGGTATGAGAGCCACATGAATTAGCCTCTGATTACTCTTGGGGCATACATGATGTCCTGAGTCAATCCATTGAGCTATTGAATTACGATCATAGGTATGTCCTGATGATACAATTACAGGATCTCTCATCACATCTAACGAAATGGGGCAGCGAAAATCATCTGGAATTTGATCCATTGATATAGAAGAACACGAATGATGTTGAAACTTCAAGTTGAATTGTTCTGTCTTACTGAAAAGCACTGTTTTGGCATGTCGAACAAGAGAAATTAGATTGTTTATATTAGAAACCACCATTATTCCACCTGTTCCTGCTTGTTTAAGAGCTTCTACTTCCAGTTTTGATATCTCTTCATCACAATCCATCAGGCTTCTCAGCCCAACACTACTGAAAAACTCTGCCAAATCTTTGTTCTTCTTGTTCATCATTAGTTCAAGAAGCTCATCTCTTCTTCGAACCTCGCGTTCGTCGGCCGAAAACTCGAATCGTTTAGCTTGATTGTGAAGAAGCTCCACTTGTTCTCTTGTATCATCTGTTAATTTCAGGAAGCTGAGAGGTAAAATATCAAGAACTCTCCCAATCTCCTTCACTAGCTGATAGAACTGATTGGAAATGAGCTCTGTCTGTAGTAAACTCCATAGACAGCTTCCTTCCTCACAGCTTTGAATCAGAAGCTTAACTCTTCGGACTACAGAGAAGAGTTCAGTGAAGCAAACAAGGGAAGATGGAGGAAGCTGAGGAGAATTAGATTCATGAACCTCTTCAAATAAGAAAGCAAGAAGCTTGATTCTTCTTCTCATGGTTGAGACGGTCCGAGCCTGCACAAAACTCGCCTTCTCCTCCAAACAAACTTCGTTGGCTAACACAATCAGTGATTGCAGCACAGACCCATGAGGCAAAAAGGCTGAAGCTGCCATGATTGGGGAGGAAAGAGCAACATCCATGGCCATTCTCATTGCATCAATACACTCGACCTATACAGAGCCATATATACGGAACAATTTCTTTACTCTCTGTCGTCTAAATCAAGTGGGTGCGTTATTGTGCGTTCTTAACACTTCATAAGGTCAGACATGGATTACGAACATGGATTACGAGGAGGAAAACTACAAATCTTCTTCAAACGTGAAAATTATTTAATTCATTGGGAAAAAGAAAGAAACATTTTAGTAATTTGAAGGGTTTTTGTCGGTTTCTTTTTGTTTGGCTGACTGTATGAACAATAGGAGGACTTGTTGGTAGCTGCCACTTGGAGCAACTTCCTGACTCCTTAAAATAGTCAAATGCCCAACCAATTTTATATTTTTCAAAACTATGCATTAACTGCACAAAGTCAAACTTTGTGGGCAGTCTCCTCTCATATCTCTCTTGCAAAATTTCAACTTTTTTGGTTCTTTTGGAGGTTTGTTAGGAGGGTGTATTGAAATGTCAGCTCATAAGCTCCCAAATCAATGCTCATTTTCTATGATAAAAAAATGGGTCAGTCTCTTTTTTGTATATAAAATTTATTTTGGAAAAACGTCCTTTCTTGTGACCTAAATGGTCATCACGGATTTGTCATTCCATATCGTTGTTGTTACAAAAGTGTAAACAAGATCGATCGCACTCACACACCATAAATAAGACACAAATATTTACATGGTTTGAAGAGAAGAAATTCTTCTACATCACTCCCGAGTGGTAGTTAATCATTGTAATCAAAATGTTTATAAGTCTATCTCTCACACTTTCATGCCGTAAAATCTATCTTGCAAAGTCTCTCCCCAAATTGTCTTTAGGCAAATACAAATTGATAATGACTTTATATCTCAAAATAAGCGCAGCAATATTAATGTTATACATGAATCAAGATAATTCATGTATCAATATGGAAGATGATGAAAAAAAAAAAAAAAAAAAGAGATGAACTAAATGAATTCCGATAGGTGCATTCATATGAAAGGGAAATGTATAAAAAAATGTTCATGAATCCAAAAGTATGGTATGATCCATGGAATGTACCTTGTCAAAAGAATCCCAAACAGATAATCGGTTTGACTAGCACCAAATGAACATGCTACTTCAAATCGGCCAAAAATTTTCACCATCAATCACCTTTGTCAACACTTTAGGATTATCAACCGTTCCAATTTTCGATAAACAAATGTCCCTTTATTGAAAATTTCTCGATCAAATAAAATTAAACATCAATATGTTTGGTATTCAACAGACAAGCAATACTCCAGCTAAACCATGCATGTAAATATTTCTTTAAAAGCTTCCTTGAGTGTCATATACTTTACTTCTACGGTAAACAATATAAAAACATTGAACGCCACAAACAGGTTCACCAACCATATTGACTGGTAAGGGTGCAATGCTTACTTTTCTTCCTAATCTAATATCTTTCCAGAAGATTAAATAATGAAAACGAGAGTGATTTGGTCATGTTAACCTCGGCAGCTTTTGGTTCCGTTAAAAGGGCACAAATTCTCCCAGAAGTTTCTTTAATTGAAAAAATAAAAAAAATAAAATAAAATCACAACGTGTCACTATCACTGTATCAGAACTATGGAAGTTTCTCTGTGGATGTACTATGGACAAATGGGTTGACTATTCTCGAGTGGGCTTCAAAAGGAAAAGCCCAAAATTCGCAAACTTCAAGCCCACGATGAAGCCCAATTTGAGTGCTCTCTCTCTCTCTCTCTCTCTCTCTCTCTCCATTATTAAAGGGCCCACTGAAACGTTGAATGGTACAAAGGCAATCTAAAGAAGGGGCCTACTTGATTGATAGAAAAGGAAATCAATGGAAGGGAACATGGCACAATAAAAGAAGGGTTACAGACACCACAATCCAACCTCCTCCATCAAAATATCAACGCTAATAATTATTGGGCCGGCCCATTTTCAAACCACCAACCAATCAAAATCATTCCTCCAAATTCCCTCTTTCTTTTCTCGTCTGCAACAAAACTATTTCTTTTGTGTGTGTGTGTGTGTGTGTGTGTGTTTGCGAACAAGTGGGTGTGTGTGTGTGTGTGTGTGGTTTGAGGAAAACGACGACCAGTTTGCGAACAAGTGGGTTCTGGGAATTCCATTATGAACTTTGGCTGTTTCGCTCAATCACTGCCCCAACCATTTTCTTTTGATGGGACTGTTTTTATCCCTTCCTCATCATAACTCCCCTTCCCTTTTCTCTCTCATTTTACCCTTAACTCAATTATGCCCTTTGGATCCCTTTTCTTTCGATCTTTTCATTAACATTTTCTAATATTTTGTCAAAAAAAAAAAAGAATATTATTTTTAGTTTCTTAATGCAGATCATCACTGTGTTGCTTTATATATGAAATATGATGTCTCATCCTAAGTTAGGAACACAAATAATGGCACCCCATGTTCTTTAATTTAAAGTATTCCTTCTTTTTTCCCTTTAATTGGGTGTTTCAAGCCTTCTTTAACCATTTATATATATATAGACACATCCTGTTGTAGAGGAGATGACATTATTTCTTGACTGACATGATGAAACAGCAGCAGAAGCAGCAGCAGCAGCAGCAGGCATGAGAGGGTGCCATGATACTCGTTCTTCTTCTTCTTGTGCAGCCTGCAAATTGCTGAAAAGAAGGTGCACGCCCACTTGCATATTTGCGCCTTATTTTAGGTCTGATGAGCCGAAGAAATTTGCCAAGGTTCACAAAGTGTTTGGGGCGAGTAATGTGAGCAAGATTCTGACGGAGGTGCCTGAGGAGCAGAGAGAGGACACTGTGAACTCTTTGGCTTATGAGGCGGAGGCTAGGCTGAGAGATCCTGTTTATGGATGCATCGGTGCCATAGCTTTGTTGCAGACTAAAATGGCGGAGCTTCAACATGATCTTGCTCTTGCCAAAGCTCGCCTAGCTCGTTATGCTGCTGCTAATAATAATAATACTTCTTCTACTTCTTTGGGTGTTCTGGAAAATTGTGTTGTTAATATGTCTTATGGTGGATTGAGTTTCTCTGGGCAGAGTTCTGATGATATCTCCCAATATGGTTTTTTATGTGACTTTACCCATTTTCCATATCCATTTCAAGCTTGAAACTTTGAGCTCTCTTTCTCTTTCTCTCTCTTTCTCATCATGGTTTCATCAACAATTTTTTTTTTTCTTATCTCCGAAATTCTTTTTAGATTTACGACCCTAAGAATTGACATGAAAATGTGTTGATTAGGGAGATGTTTCACACTCTTATAAATAATGTTTTATTTTTTTTATCGAGTTCACACAATCCACTCTTTTGAGACCCAACGTCTTTGTTAGCACACCACCGATATGACGTTTCACTCTTATAAGTAATGTTTCATTATCTTTATTGGGTTCTCACAATCCACCCACAATCCATCCCTTTGAGACTCAGCGTCCTTGTTGGCACACCGCCGATATTTAACTCTGATAACATTGTAAAGTCTAGTAACGTCCCTGTTGGCACACGTGTATTTCACTCATTGTAACAGTCTAAGCTCATTACTAGTAAATATTGTCCCTTGTTAGCACACCGGTATTTCACTCATTGTAACTATTTATCCTTTGTTGGCACACCGATATTTCACTCATTGTAAATATTGTCTGCTTTGGCCGGTTATAAAACGAATTAAAACGAATAATGTTAGGAATCATTCATGATATTGTCCTTTGAGCATAAGCTTTCATGACTTTACTTTGGGCTTTTCCACAAGGCCTTGTTGGAGATAGCATTCCTCACTCATAAACCCATGATCTTTCGCAAAATTAACAAACGGGGGATCCACTCTCAATAATCCTCGACAAATAATATCTACGACCGATATTCAAGTTCTCACCCTGTATTATGTATATTTTATTTTGTATTTAATTAAATTCTTGTTTCCCCTTGTTTTTTCATCAACGAAATCTAGAATGGATAAATATTGAAAAAAGAAATATTATTTTTACTTTTGGTTTTGAAAGTAAAAGAAAAGGAAAAGAAAAAAGGGTGGATGGGATTGGTGGTTGTGTAGGTCCAATGCAAGAGAGAGAGAGAGAGAGAGAGAGAGAGAGAGAGAGAGAGGAGAGGGTTTAATTGAAATGGTAAGATGGTGACGTGTGGTGTGAAAGTATTGGGTCGAGAAAATGACATTGGGCCCAAAATCCCATTGGGCCCGTCAAGCCTAGGCCTTATATGATCCATCATTCACGAAACTGGACACGACTGATTTGAAAGAAGAGAAAGGGCATTAATTTAAAAGAAAAATATAATTTGGGACTTTTAAATTGCGATTCCAAAGAATTGAGGCGAAATTGAAACCGGATGATGCAATAAATATGGTGTATAAGTAAGTTTTTGCGAGTACCGAGACACTGTGGAAGTGTCCCCCCACTTTGGCATCGCTCACATGCAGATGCTATTTCCTAAACCTTTCTCTTTCCCTCTCCCTCTACGCCTTCGCTGTTCCTCTTACGTCCCGACACCTCCTCCCCTTTGCATGCACTCTCCCAACTCTTCCCCTCTCATTGCCCTTTTCTTCGCAAATTATTTATTCCTTACATTTTAATTTTGTTGCAACTTAAATAATAAGTATGGTAAAAATCTTCACGGTTTTCAAGGAGAATAAATGTCAAACAAGTGAAGCTATATTTCTATGAATATAAAGGTCAAACAAATCAAGCTCTACATCAAATTCTACCAAATCAACGTTCATACATCATTTAAACCAGCATATAATAATTTGTGGCGCCCTCAGGCCATGACTTGTTCCTATATACTTCAATTTTCATTTTTATTTTCTCTTAAACTTTAACACTGAAAATTTAAATTTGAATATAACATTATTTAACTATGCCAAGAAAAAATAATTAATTAGGATAACGGTTAATATTTCTATCCATTAGATGGATTGTTTTTGTTATTAATTAACCCGTTTATTTATAAGAATTGCATGTGTTAGACGAACCCAACTCTCTACAATGATATGATCAACTCTCTACAATGATATGATACTGTCCACTTTAAACCATCTGTGATTCTCAAAAGGCATCATGCATAGTTTTTTTATTTTTTATTATTATTATAAACTCATGATCAATCTCTAAATTAGCGGAGGTGGGACTTTAGTTATCCCACAACATGCCTTCCTGAATTGAAAATAGACCATAAGAGTAAGACAATAATGAAAGAAAAGTTATTCAACAAAATTTGTTATTCTGAGTACATGCATGTCGTGTAATAACTATTCAATTTAAATTCAAACTTTTGAAATCCTCTTATAGATTTGAGTGTGCTTCAATCCAATCTAAACGAATACTACGAATAGAGATAGAATTACAAATTGGTTAGAGTTGGGAGAAAAATAATGAAGTGTTCCCATCCCATTATGTTCATTGTTTTTTCATTTGTTGGTGTCAGATAAAAGTAAGAAAGAGGCGGCCGAAATAAGTCTCTCACGTGTATGTGCTTCTGCTCCCTGCTGCAAGAAAACCACTCCACCAAGCCCAAGAACCCCAACTTCAACTCTCTCTCTAATATTATATTGTATTGTAGTAGTATGTGTGTGTGTATATAAACACATCCACTCAAAACCACCGCCCTCTTCCACCATTAACTGCGATCGCATCCAAATCAAACCCCAACCCTCTCCCCTCTTCCTTTCCCCCCTCACTGATCCATTTCTCTGAACGAGGCCCCGACGCCTTCACTCCCTTTTTTAGTCTAGTTTTATGGACGACCACTCACCTTCCTCCTCTTTCCCTCACCCTCCCCGAGACCACCCATCCTCTTCCTCTTCCTCTCCCTCTCCTGACCCTAATTCCCCATTATTACCTCCCCCAAACCCTCCCCCTCCTTCCAACACTACCCCTTCTTCTCCCACTCCCACCAATGGCGCCCGTAAAAGAAAAGGCAAGGGCGGCCCCGACAACAACAAGTTCCGTTACCGCGGCGTCCGCCAACGCAGCTGGGGCAAATGGGTCGCTGAGATCCGCGAGCCACGTAAACGCACGCGCAAGTGGCTCGGCACTTTCTCCACCGCTGAAGACGCCGCCCGTGCCTATGACCGAGCTGCTATCATCCTCTACGGCTCCCGTGCTCAGCTTAACCTCCAAGCCGCCTCCCCTAATTCCTCCTCCTCCTCCCATTCCTCCTCTTCCCAATCCAACTCCCGCTCCAACAACCTCCAGACTCTCCGCCCTCTCCTTCCCCGCCCTGCCGCCGCGGCCTTCTCCTTCTCCTCCATGGCTTCCTCTCTCCCTATTATGACATCTCATCAATCCTCCTCCTCCAACTCCAACTCTTCTAATTTTCTCCCTTATGGGGTTTATCCATCTCCTGGATTCACCCTAATGTGTCCCAATCTAGTGCATCAATACCCACCCCAACTTACCCAACACCCCCACGCTTTTTCCGCTCCCTCAAATGAAATTCCATCCACTTCCACTGTTACTACCTCTATTGCCACTCCATCCCCACCTTCCACAACCTCGTACCACCAAAACCCTAATCCCCTACTTGTTGCTTCCCCTCAAATTAACCCCTCGCCAGTTGCACCACCACCGCTCGTTTCAGATCTGGTTGTTGGGCCCATTGGGCCTGGATCTCCGGCGGTGGGCTGGCCGTTGGAGAACGATGAAGATTATCTTCCTTCTCTTTGGGACTACGGTGATCCTTTCTTCTTCGACTTGTGAGATCACTATTGTGGTTTTTGCGACAATGGGTCTCCTTCAAACTCATCCGGAAACAACGACATCTCGTCGATTTGAGCTTCAATCTCGGCTTGCATGTAACCACCACCGCCTTGAGACGGCGGCGATGGCGATGGCGATTGTCTACTACTGGTTCGTAATATGATAAATTCAGATTTTTATTATATACATATCTATATATATATATATATATATATTTGGTGTGTTTGAGCTCTTTTTAGAGGTTGTGGTAATTGGATCGATCATCTCGATTCGATTTTTTTTCACACAATTCATCAGTCGAATTGATGTTTTTGCATGATATGGATTGAATTTTGGTGCTTAGAGGCGAATTGATGAGGTTGCTTCATTGTTCAAACTTGTCTTCTCCATTTGTTGGAAGTATCAACAATTGTCTCTCACAATAAAAACTTTTTTTTTTTTTTTTGATCATTTTCCACAAGTTTGATTTGATCATCGTTATGTTTTTTCACATTTAAGATTGTTTTAATTTATGGGAATTAATTAATTTTGATAAATTAGAGTGTGGTAAAGCTGAATTTATGAATTAGGGTTTTGAGTTGTCAATGCATGGCTGCAGAAAGCACTGCAAAAAGTCAAAGAAGGTGTAGGGAACTTCTGCCTTTTTGTTAATCCAACATGCAAACCTTTAATCAATCTCCTGAGGATTCATTTGAAAACAACTGCTTTTCTTTTTAATTTTCTGCTGTATTCAAAGTAATGTCGTTTATCAAGAACTCTCTCTTTTATAAAGATTCTAGCACAAAAGAATTTATGGTAAGGCGGTTCTGATTATTATTATTATTATTATTATTTTTTATATATTTATAGGGAGGAATTATATATGGATTAGGCAATGTTTAATGTGGATTATAAGATTTTAGCATATCTATTTAGTTTATGTTTATAAACTACATTAATTGTCGGAACACTGTGAAGTAATTTAATACTATTAATATTGGGGTTTATTAAATAATCATCATGAGATGATCAAGGATACTTTATTAAATAATGAATTTTTATCCAAATTTTAAAAATAAAAACTTGTTTTTCAACATTATATGAGGAAATTATTTTAAGAAAATATATTTTTTATGCCTATTTCAATAAATAAATAAATAAATATTTTAGACTCTTTCCTTCATAATATATGTGGGTTTTTTTTTTCAAATAAAATAAAATAAAATATTTAGTTCCTTGTATTTTAATATTTTTTAATTTAGTATCTTAGTGAATGTAAATATTTCCGTATATATTATTGAATGACTTATAAAAAATATAAAAAAAAAGAAAAAAAAAAGAGAAGAAAAGGTTTTCAAGAAGGTATCTAAGAAATGCTGCCAATTTTTATACAAATTTAGTGGACAAATTATAAATATTCTTCCTACAAATGTTTTTTTTTCTCTAAATTTATACTAATTCTCTAAATATTATACAAGAAAATATATCATTAACTGATTTTAATATTTAATAATAGAGTGGTGTTAAATTAAAATTTTAAAAAAGATAAAAGAATCTGGATTTTATCTTTTTAAATGATAGGAAATAAATTAAATTTTAAGAAAGACAAGAATAATTTTGAAAATTACACCAACTATTTTTCTGGTCATGTTTTTTATCATTGGGCTAGTTCAGTCGTTTATTAGGCCCATAAACGGCCCAAGTGGCCCACCGAAGTTCAAGCCGGCTTTAAATTAGGGTTTCTCACTATATATTGTAATCCGCAGCCTTTGCCTCCAGAACGTCGTCGATCCTGTCATTTGTTTCGTTTGCTTTGAGGCCAGTCTTGTTCTGTATCAGATCGATTAGCAGGTCTTCAACATGAGGGCGAAGGTAAGTGATTTTTTTTTTTTAATGAAATATTTATGTTCGTATTGCTTGGTTCTCTTGTTGATTTTTGTTATTGTTTGTTTGCGTTTTTGTTTCGATTTACCAGTGGAAGAAGAAGAGAATGAGGAGATTGAAGAGGAAGCGCCGAAAGATGAGGCAGAGATCCAAGTAGTTTGTGTCTTTTTTTAAATAAAAAAATGAATCGTTCTTTTAATCGCTACTGATCTAGGAATAGAGTAATAGTTCCAATTCGTGTTTTTTATTAAGTCCTTTTAGTTTCAATGCGCAATTTTGTTTGACTTCCTCGCACTTTGATCTACATTATTGAATTTGCTGTCTGGAGTTTCTGAAATTTCCGTTGAATTATCTGTTGATTCCACCAGTAATCTAAAACATTCTTTTCAGTTCAAGTATGAATTTATCCCTAACCTTAATAATTGCTCATGCCTCCATGAACAAAGTAGCAATGTCATGGCCCGTTTAAGAACGTGAACGCTTAAATTGATTGCGTTTACGACTCGAGATCAATGCCACTACTCGTTTAGAATCGGTTTAAGGATGGTTTTTAGATCCATTTTTCTTCTAGTTGTCTCGTGTCAATACCTGCTCTGTCTCCGAATAAAACGATTGTACCAAACACATCATTCTCAGATTAGTATCCTATGAGTTCACGATCTCGCATAGTGCGCTCAACTTATTTTCAAATTGTTGTGTTATAGGTTTTGCTTTGTGATATCCTACCTAATATCGTATAATTCAGTGACTGTAATTATTGTTGGAAGCCAATAATGCGAAAAGCAATTATTTATAACACAATATCTATGCAAGAATGAACTTCTAGCGAAGGATCTTTCTTTTGAGTAATTATATGGCGTGTGGATCAACATTTGCCAAAATCCGGTTCAAATTTGGTACGAACTGCGGCGTGGAACGAGTGACACAAAATTTGAACTTCATAGCTAAATAACTATCCCACAACTTCTGTCACCCAGACGTAAAAGAATATAATCAACTTTTTCTCGTTTGCAAGGCTCTCTCTTTACATGGAGAGACATTGTGGCTGCAACAGCTTCAGTTCTCCACAGGCTTCAAAAGCCTCAGTCTTTTACCTTCTTGTCATTTGTGTTCAATCTGCGCTCAAATTAAGACGTTTATGAGAAGAAAAATTACTTGGAATAATGAGAAGGGAGGAAGAACCTCTGTCGTTTACTTCGAATACGACAGGTTGAGGCCGCCGACGAGGACGATATTCTCCTTAAAACCAATTTAAGAGACTGTTGAACAGTTTTCAAGCACACATTTTTTTCACCATCTTTATTGCAAAGGACAAGTATGCTTTTAATGCGGCCGCCAACGCTAGCCATATCTGCCCTTATGGTTGTGAGCCTCAGCCCCTTGATCACTTGGATGAGCTCTGCGAACAGTTCTGGCCGATCGTCGCAGCTCACCGATACCTTTATTGCAATATTGTTCCTGTTGTTGTCTTCAACCATGGTAGAATCAATAGTTAATTCATCCATATCTGTTGGAACTGTCATGTTCTTGCTGACTTCCATTGCTTTTCTTTTCAGGTCTTTCACTTGATCGATTGCACTTCCCAACAGAGCTGCCTTGTCCATCTGCCATAGGAAATAAGAAGATGAGTCTGAACATGTGCTGCAGAGTTTTCTCTTTGAGGTACAAAATTATGTTTCTTAAGAAGATGAACTACTAAGCAACTTAATCAGTCGAACTTTTGCTAAAGCTAGAAGTTGATTATTACAATAATCACAAAAGTATCGATATGAAACCCACTGCTAACAGATATTGTCTTTCTTTAGGCTTTTTTTTTTTCAGACTTTCCCCCAAAGTTTTTAAAACACTAGGGAGAGATTTCCACACCCTTTGAAAGAATGTTTCGTTCTCCTCTCCAATCGACGTGGGATCTCATAGAAACAATCCTTTCTTAAACATGTTTTTTATCCCTAACTTAGCACAGAAAACTTAAACTGAGTTGGTCATCCAGTTGGAAAGAGAAAGGGGTAGAGAGAGCAAGAGTACCTTATCAGACTTGGGAATGAGTTTTCTAAGAGTCGCCAGTTGAGCATTGATTCTGTCCCTACGCCTCTTTTCTGCTTGGCTATGGCTCTTGGAAGCAGAAACTGCTCTAACGTCAGCAATCATTCCTTCCGTTGAAGTTGAAAATGAAGGAAACCCATCAAACTGAACCTTAGTTGAGCTTGAAAGCTGAGGATTAATCATAAATGGAAGAAGCAGAGAAGGTTCACGGCTTGAATTGCCATTGCAATGAGCCCAATTTAGCCCCTCAAGCTTAGTAGAAGAAAAATCCCAGTTCTTCTCCATAACTGATGAAAAAGAGAGGCAGGGCCAATGTTTCTGAAGTCCGACTCAAAGTTTGGTTTTTATGGTTGCATCTGGAGAGCTACTGTTGATTGCACTAATAATAATGTGTGTGTTTGTGTGTGTGTGTGTGTGTGTGATCTGCAAATCTTGATGGTGATTGGTGTGATGCCCAATAGGCCTTTAATTTTTCAAAACGAAAATCATATAAGGCTATATTTGCCTGTCATTTCAGTTTGAAGTTCCTGTTCTTCCCCCCTTTGATAAAGCTAAGCCTCCACGATGTGTACAATTAAAGACCACTACCAACCAAATTAGAGCGACTGTTTTAAGTTGAGAAAACATGAAACAATATATCCCATAAACAAAGCAGCATACCCAAGGAACTCCAGCAACTGTTGAAGTTAATGAGATCCCAATACCATATTTACCTGAAAACAGTGGCAGATCTAGATGATCTTTGATTTTGGGATAACTTCCACTGAAAGTTCTTTTTTTTTCCCTCCCTACACAATCTACTCCCACCCATTAGGATTTGTGGCGATTTCTTTCATGGGCCACAGCAAAAAATTTTCCTTTCTTTCCTTTTCAATCTTATCTATTCATTATGAAGAAATTTAAAGCATAGAGAAAGAACCGGGACTCAGATTTGAATCTCCCCAAACTCCACAAACTATTTCGTTCCCCCTCCAACCATAGGATCTCACAATCCACTCCCTTGGGTCAGTGTCCTCGTTGGCACATAGGTTTCCACACCATTATAAGAAATGTTTCGTTCCCCTCTCCAATCGATGTGGGATCTCGCAATCCACTCCCTTGGGGCCAGCGTCCTCGCTGGCACACAGGTTGCCACACTCTTATAAGGAATGTTTCGTTCCCCTCTCCAACCAATGTGGGATGTCACAATTCCACCCCCCTTGGGGCCCAACGTCCTCGCTGGCACATAGGTTTCCACACCTTTATAAGAAATGTTTTGTTTTCGTTCCCCTCTCCAACTCCCATCTCCAACCGATGTGGATCTCAGAATCCACCCCCCTTGGGGCCTAGCGTCCTCGCTGGCACACAGGTTTCCACACCTTTATATGAAATGTTTCGTTCCCCTCTCCAAACGTTGTAGGATCTCACAATCCATCCCCTTAGGGCCCAGCGTCCTCGCTTCCAACCGTTGTGAGATCTCCCAATCCATCCCCTAAGGGCCCAGTGTCCTTGCTGCCACACAGGTTTCTACACCCTTATAAGGAATGTTTCGTTCCCCTCTCCAACCAATGTGGGATCTCCCAATTCACACCTGTAGGGCCTAGCGTCCTCGTTGGCACACACGTTTCCACACCCCTAAAGGAATATTTCGTTCCTCTTCTCCAATCGATGTGGGATCTCACAATTCACCTTGCTTGGGGTCTAGCGTCCTTGCTGGCACAGGTTTCTACACCCTTGCAAGAAATGTTTAGGTAACCTCTCCAACCAATGTGGGATCTCCCAATCCACCCCCGTAGGGCCTAGCGTCCTCGCTGGCACACAAGTTTCCACACTCTTAAAGGAATGTTTCGTTCTACTCTCCACCCAACGAAACACCCGATGTGGGATCTTACAATCCACCCCCTTGGGGTCCAGCGTCCTCGCTGGCACACCGCCCGATGTCTTGCTCTGATACCAATTGTAACAGCCCCAACCCACCACTAACAAATATTGGTTTCTTTGGGTTTTCCTTTTCGAGTTTTCCCTCAAAATTTTTAAAACGCATCTACTAATGAAAATTCCACACCCTTACAAGAAATGTTTGTTTCCCCTCTCTAACCGACGTGGGATCTCACTGCTAAAAGGGGCCTTACCCTCCCTATCAAACAGGTTTGCCATGTTTCTAAGGAATTTATGGATCTTTTTGTAGGCAACTTTTCATGTAGCTTTGTGGATGTGCCTGTTCACAGTGTAGTCACGTAAAAGATAAAAACAGGGAAAAAGGAAACATTCAACAACTTCACCAATCATAGCCTCATCTCCTGAGTTGGATTCCTCAAGAGAAAGAAGAGAGAGAAAAGAGGGCCTTCCCACAGCGGCTTGTTCAAAAAGAAACTCAGTAGTCTTCCTTTACAGAAGCAAACAACAAAGCTTGAAGTGCAATGCAAAAAGGAGGGCCATAATGTAGGGCCCCCTTTTGCACAAACATTGTAATTGAATGTAAAGAGGACATTAAAGATTGATAAAGACTTCTGATAAACTACTCAAATTTACAAAAGTCCCATCTCAAAATCATGTGGTGCCCATGATTTTAAATTCTTTTAACTCGATGATCCTGTAGATTTGGAACAGGCCATGAGCAGAAGAGGAGATTTTTCTGGGCACCATTTACTTCAGGTAGATGAGAAGAGTGTGGCGAGTGGACAGGGATAGGGATATGGATAGGGATGAGAAACGAGAGGAATAATTTCGTCGGCAATAGATGCAAGAAAAATGTGGCAAATCCCAAGGTTGCGTTTTCAATGATACAACTCTAACGTGTTCTTGTCCACCATATAATTGCCCTCTTCTCTCCTCTCCTCTCCTCTGCAGCCGCAACTCTGCAACTTGGATAAACGATACGACTCTTATCAAAGAGCTGTTCAAATAAATTAGATTACACGAAATATTCTATCAATTCAAAATAATTTATTGTTGTTCTTTTCTGCTAAATTTGTAACGGATGACTGGAATCAACATGTGAAGTTGGTCCATGCATTATTTTGCTAATTCAAGCCAGTAGATAAATTATTTGTTGCCCTTGATTTTCTAATATATATTGTTACTCTCTCAAACAGTAAACAAAACTTGAGTACGTAATTTCATGTCCTGAAATGTTTGGAAGTGTATGTATGCATAGCACATAAAAGTATAAAATGTTACATGGTTTAAGAAGTACCTTATAAATATTGCTAACCCATATATATTCCACATATATATAAATATTGATATAGAAGTCGGTGGACTATAATCTATTCATAACAAAGACTAGGATACTCAATAACAAAATTTTACAGTTTACCCTACATACAAATATTTACATCGGTTTTTATGATATTTTATCTAAAAAATACCAGATCTACTTATCTCTAAATATAATGGTGAAATATTATTTTTCTTCCGAGCGTGTAGTAAAAGAAGTTGGAACTTGTTTAAATTACTCGGTAGCCGCTATAAGCACCATTGTCATTGACCGAGTATTTCCTACATAGCAGAAAATTGGCATAATGCAGTGCTAAATTTCTTCCCCTGATTTGTAAATAATATAAAACTTGAATAGAAGTTGAGTTTTGCTGAGGTTCCAGTCCGTTTGTCCATAGATATCCCTTCATCAGCTCGCCCTAAAGCATTGGGATGTTATCTATAACAAACTACAGAGACAACAACTAAAAGAAAATAATTCAGCCATAAAACAGAATATTCAAATGGAAATTACTCGGGAAGAACGATAAAGTTGTTAACTCATTAGTTTTCAAGCTCATGAAAATTGAGAAAGAATGATCCACAACAGAAGTACAAAATGAAAGTCCTTCTCACTCAAAGAATACCGATAAAACATAAGGCAAATATCCATCGACAAAAGAATGGAAAGGGAACCATACAAAAGACAGATAATTCTATGAATCTAGTTTTTATCGTCGTTCAAAGCAGCATTTCCTAATGAAAGGCCAGGCTACAATGGAGGAGAAAAAAAGAATCTTAAAATACAGAACCCTCAGGTTGCTGCACCAGCATCCGAAAAAAATGCCTGCGCTACCAAAAGAATATTACAAGACAAGTCCATAACACTATAAAACAGGAACAGAATGACAAAAATTCAAGAATTTTTTTTTACCCATCGAGGAAGAAGTGGGGGAGAAGCATAAAATTTATGTAAGAAAAGCCCCCTATAATTGCAAGGTTGAACTCTCCCTAGAATCTATGGTCGATTCCCGAGTTTTTTTTTTTTTTTTTGGCTAGGTTTTTCTGTGTTAATAGCTGCTACCCATTGGTGGCATTCCAAAAGGTGGCATTGGAGGCATTCCCATCCCACCCATTGGTGGTGCGGGTGCATAACCTGGCATTCCTGGTCCTCCTCCCATACCCGGCATTGGCGGTGCAGGCAAAGCAAGAGGCAGCAACTGAGCATACATGTTCTGCAGTTGAAACTCACAATTTAGAATACAGAAAGAAATATTCAACAGTTGGGATGGATGCAAAACTGTAGAGGTCTACAGCAAGGCTATGGATAAGAGCAAACGACAAGGCCTAGGTTTTACCTGCTGAGCAATAACGTCCTTCTCTTCCTGCTCCTTTGCCTTGACCTCTTTAAGAGCCTCAATCTTGTCCTTCACAAGTTCGTCAACCTTTCCTGTATATTCTCGGATAAACTGGGACATGAAGAAAAATTTTCATCAGGCAACATACTACTATGCTACGTGGACAATCATAACATCCAAGAAAAGCCAATGGCATAGGCCACACAAAATCTAATGCCTCGACCACATTCTACTATGCTAATGCCTCGACTTGGAAGAACAATTTCATCACAACCAAAGCCCAAGTTTCCAGGTTCCTAGGAGACATTGGTGGAAACCAAAGTGTCTCCAGATTTGAAGTCCTACCAATAAACCTAGATATTAGAAAATGGTATGAAGTAAGACAAGTCACCTGCAACAGGTATGGGAAAGCAAAGTCGACCATGTTGTTGATCCAGGCAAGTTCAAGAGCAACATCTGCTCGAATTAAGTCATAACAAACAAAGAGGCATGAAGCAAAGCATTCCTTCTTTCCCTGTACAGAAACCATTCACGAAAAGATTAAAAATAATTCCATTCACCAACTCAAGTCACGATAGAAAATGCCTAAATGTATAACAGATTCAAGAAGTGAGAAATCACATAGTGAATCTTTTCATTGTTTTTAAATGGTAAGCATGTCATAGACACTTCCTGAAAGCGTTGTGACAACCAGATGAAAAAAAGATTTAACAGATTTGCAAATCTCTCCGTCCATCCCATTACATTAGATGTGAGATAAAGACCACCACAAACAAAAGCACCAAGTGACCAGTGTCCACATAAGAAATGTAGAAAAGCTTTCATTTGCATCTGGGGATGACAATTTGGTTTATTTGACCCAAATTTAAAAAATGGATTTTCTGTTCTTCAAATTGTGTACATCCCATTTGTAGTGATATTTAGCATTCAATAAATGACTGAAATTTTAGACCCGAGTTCAAACAGAAAAATAATTACAAAGTGTTTTTTTACATCCAGTGAAAACAATTTGACCCCTTTGACATAATTTTCAATTATTGGGTCTTCAGGTACTTTTAACCATTGGCCTACATCACTTGTAGTAACTTAAATTCAACGTATGAATCAAAATTTTTTAGTCAAAAGGCCAATGGTACTTTTAACCATTGGCCTACATCACTTGTAGTAACTTAAATTCAACGTATGAATTAATTTTTTTTAGTCAAAAGGCATGAACATGCTTTTCTAAGTAAACTATAAAGATCAAACATACCTGCTCAATGAAGTAAACAAGCAACTCCTCAGCAAGTTCACGGTCACCAGATTGCGATGCTGTCTCCATTGCATCCTTGTAGAGATTGTCTTTCTTTGACAAGGCAATAGATTGCTTCCATCTTCCTGCTTTTTTGTATATGTAGGCAGCAACGCGTCTCATTTCAAGTAACTCATGCTTCTCAATCTGCAC